GGGGGGGAGGGGAGAGAAGAGGAGAGAGCCACTGACAGACGCTAGGGGAGGGGGGAAACACCGACCAACACTGGGGGAAAGAAGGGAAAGGCACCGTCTGAGGCTGGGGTCACGTAAAAATGTCCTCAGCCAAAAAGGGGTCACGAGTGGAGAAAGTTTAAGAAGGCCTGGGCTAGAGAACAAGGGAGAAGCCGTCCACCAATGACGTCTATAAGTCAAAATAGGACAAAGGGAGAAGGAGAAGAGGCGCATTAGAATGTAGCAAAAAATAAACAAATTGGGTAAGTTATTATAAATAGATGTTTTTATTTGCTAATATTTATTACTGTAATGGCGGCAGTTGCAAATGAGGGGGCAGGGAGGCAGGTCCACTTTATATACACTTTACTTGCCAAAAAAAAAGGCAAAAACAAAAGTTACCTACCAAGCTTTTTTGTATTTCTACAAAACATTGTAGAATCCAGTAACCTCCCAAAGTAGCTATAGTATTGTCTGTAAATAAAAAAAAAAGAAACGTTAGCAAACAAAATACATTATGTGTGTTTTATTGCTAAAAATATGGACCACACACATAAGAGTGAAATCTCTGAACATTTGCTCATGCACTTGATGAAATGTTATGATCACGTATGAAATTTATTATCACAGGATTAGCAACCTCCAAAAGGAGTTTTATAAGGGACAGTCAACATAACAAGACTAGGGCTGCAACTGAATATTTTCAAAATCGATAAGTTGGCCCATTATTTTTTTGATTAATCGCACAAAATAAAAAAAATTAAATACCATCTTTTATTTAAAATAAAATACACAAATGGAGTGTTAAAAACATAAAGCTTACTTTAGAATAAAACTGCATGCACATTTTTTGCAATTGCACTGCACTGGAATGCACTGCATTGCAGTACCGCGTGTTCCAGTGCAGGCAATCACACTGCGGGTGGGAGGATTGTTTGGGGTTGTTGGGGGGTTTTACGTCATTTTCAGACCTAAAATGTGGAATATAACATGGGTGCAAAAATGGAAAAAAGGGCCTCAGTCATGAAGGGGTTAAATGAATTTTTCAGGCCGAAACTTTTCCCACCTTTTTTTTATTATTTTTAATAATTGTATGCATTATATTAGACATTTTAATTCGTTTCAAGGCTTTAAAATAATCTGAATTGTAAAATTCCAAACATAATAAAATGACAAGCAAAACTTGGACAAAACATACAAATGAGATTAGATAGATAGATAGAATATTGTCTCGAGAATTATTGCTCTCCTTCTGGCACACACGGCAACACCTGACATGTGTAGCGCAATCATCGTTTTCATAAGTAGGTGCACTCGACATGCGTTTCCTTTAGTATGCGCGCGTTCGTGGGGTTTGCTCCTAGCCACTGGATGCGCCCCCCTGCTGGCATCAGTGCTTCCTTCACTTCTCCTCGGATCCCCGCTGTCTCAGCCCAGAGGAGAAACTGCAGGCTGTGCTCATCACTCCAGTGATCACTCCAGGTGTTTATAAATAACTGGGGACACATACTACTATGTATCCCTAGTTATGAATGAACAGGAAGTGCTTTAAATCACTTCCTGTTCATTCATGAGTTTCTCAATGGGTAGTAGCACTCTGTACAGAGGCTTCTCCCCATTCAGAAACTGCTTGATAGTAAATATTTTCTGAATGAATGGGAAGCCTCTGTACTTTCCATTCATTTAGAAAAGAGTCTGCAGAAAAAGGAGATTGAGGACTCTGTGTCCTCAATTTCTTTTTTTATTTTAAAAGGGAAATATCCGGGGTCTGTTTAGACCCCGAATATTTCCCCAAAGCCCAACAGTTAAAAAAAAAAATTTAAAAAAAATTAAAAAGAAACTAAAAATACCAAAAAAAATTAAAAAACATCCTGGAGGCGGGCGCATTACGCTGTACGTGCATGGGGCCGGGGGATGTCCCACACCTGTTGGGGGGGGGGGGCACTTTTTTTGTTCTTGCTTCGGCTGCAAAAGGAGCTAGCCCGGCGAGCAGGACCATAACAGCCTGCCTCCCTGCCTGATGTCCCTGAAAGTCAGTCGATCGGCCAAACTGCATAGGAAAATTAGTTGACTTGTTGCATTTTCCCCATATGCCATAGTGCCAATGCTGAAACTACCTTGTTGGGGCCTGTTGACAGCAGAAAGTTATACAGCAAACAATGTAGAATACAAAATGATCCTCACTGTTACACCCACAATATCTAAAGCCATAGTAACTTGTCTTGAAGAGAACTTTCTATACAACAGTCTTTTTTACGAAGGATGTGGTTATGTGGTCCCCTATGACATATCTGCATAACACTGTAGTTTAGGTTTAGATTTTCCATGAATATTTCATGATTTACCCAAGACAAAATCCAGAAAACACATAGGCTTCAAGACCTTTCCTTGTTACTGTTTTGATCTTGAAAGGTATCCGTGTGAAACTGAAACCTCACTTAGCAGGAAGCAATCGAATGTAGCACATTAAAAATAAAGAACATTTTAAATAAGACTGCAAGATGGTCATCAGGCCAAGCCGTACAAATAAACCTTGATACACTAAAGGGCCACTACTACATAAATATTGTATTCTAAAAGTGACAGGGATTGGGAAAACTATAACATGCCAGCCAGGGGTGCTTAAGACAGCTGCCCTCTATTCATACAGCTATAAACAACCTTGGAAGAGTTAGAGTTCAAGTAAAATGGCTGCATCGGAGTTGATTTTTTTCAATAACAGGTCAATGTAAATGCCACTCAAAGCATCTTGTTAAGTCTGAGTTCTATGTATATGAGCACTTGTACTTTGTCCCAAGCCATGCTATTGTCACTTTTGCTAGGCAGCTTAGTTAGGTTAATATGAAAAAACTATAAAAAAGGCAATTAGAAAAATATATCTATTACACATATATATACACACACACACACACACACACACATATATATTAGTGGCAGTGCGTGTAGAGTGCCACTATGTGGAGTGGCAAAATGGTCACCCAGGACTCTCAGCCAGAGGAGCTGAGCATTTCCAGGACGGAAGTACTTTTACCAGGAAAGAGCTGGCTTTACAATTCTTTCCGGGTTTTCTAAATTATAACTGGGATCCTGGAACTGGGAGATTGCTAAGAGAACTGGGAGGGATTAGATCTCCATTCCTGGGTTCGGGCTTTAGTGGTGACCAGGGCCGAATGATGGTGCACCTGTGCACAGCCCTTATGAAAAGGATGCAGGGTCAGGGTTCCAGCTGGAAGACAAGTGAGGTGTCTGTCCAGGAGTCAGGAGGACTCCATCCTGGAACCAACCTGTGTGGCAAGTCTGTTGGATGCAACCTGTTTGGGAGAGGTTTAAAGTAACATTGCATATCCCTACGCATATGGCATGAACCCACCCTGATAGGTTCAACAGGTGGTTGTACAGGAAGAGCCACCCTGAACAAAGGTCTTAATAAAGGATTGGGAGGCTAGAGGTCTTCGGAATAAGATTGCAAGGCCTGGGATTTTCTTCTTTGTTTATACTTGGGGCCAAATCCTGATCTAGGCCTCATTGCAGAAACTTTAGGATTCTTCCCACTAAGTATTTCCTGGGTGAAAACAATCTTTCCTTGCACCAGGCAATATATGCCTTTCATGCGAGATGGTAGACCTTGCAGGATGTAGATTTCCTAGTATTTCACAGCATGGGATTTAACAAATCAGAGAGACCCCTGTGACTGAAGACCAGGGCTTCAACAGACATGCCGTTAGAGGTAGCAACCGTAAAGCAGGGTGGGATACCAGTGTTTGGGATAGGAGATCCGGTCGATCTGAAAAAGCCCACAGGGTGTCTGTCAGAAGTTTGATCAATTTGGTGTAACACATCCACCTAGACCAGTTCTGAGCTATGATGATCACTGGAATACCCTCCATCTTGATCCTGTGGAGTAAATGAGGAAGGAGTTTCAGAGGGGTAAAGGCATAGATCATACTGATCCCACGGAAAAACAAGAACACCCACTTCTTTCACCTAATGAGCTCGGCATCTACAGACAAACCTGTCCAGTTGGTTTTTATTGAATCTGGCGGCCAAGATGTCCACATCTGGCAGCCCCTCAGCTGTGACATGGGTCCTGAAATACTTCCAGTTCTATAGGCCATTCCTCTGGGTCAAGTCTTCGCCAACTGAGGTAATTGTCCAATGCCTGGAATGTGACCGGCAGACATGGCCAATGTGTGGAGTTCTGTCCAGGATAAAAAATGTTTGTGTCCTGGAAAGGCCAGATGCAGCTGGACTACTGCCCTTGTGCTTGGGATTTGACATGCTGCACTGCATAATGGAGACAACTTAACTGAGAAAACCAGGTAAAAACTGTGGGTTTTCACAAACCAACTGCTGAAAGGAGCATCAGCGGTAGGATGCTACCTCGTGCTGAAAAGGCAGGAACAAAACGTGGATTGTATGTGCAAGACACTACACCTGGTGACATAGAATTTAATTCCCTAGCCTGTTTACCCTTCCCATTGAAACCAACGGAAAAGGGGCATAATGATCATGCCCAATGGTTCCAATAAATGTAGTAGCTCCCAAAGCTCGGCCAACACAATGTACTAATCAAAGAGTCTTCAGAGACGGGATCACACCTGGATCTTAAAAGCTCTCTGCGGCTAATTAACACAGGACACAGAGGTTGAAAAGTGCCACAAGCAGTGACTCTGAATGACTGACTACGGTGTCCTTTAATGAATGAGAAACACAATATTTCATTATTAATTTTAAAAAAAAGAAAAAACCCAAATGCAGTAAATATCATTTATTTTTTATGGTAAATATTAGAATCATCATGTTCTGATATATCAAGCTCTGGTTTTGAATACCTTATGCAAAAAGTAGCATAGGAAGTGTGACAATACTTAGATTAATCAAGCTATTTGAGCTATCAACAGCTGACATTTTCCATTGTGATTTAAACACTTGATTTGATTATTTTGTACTGGGTTAAAAAAAAGAGCAAAAAGAAGGCATTAAAAAGTGGAGATGTAAAACCTAGATTAAAAGGAGAATTATGGCGAGAGTGAAATACACTGATCCCCATAATTAGAGCAGAGGTTTTGACACTGAAGCGGTCACACGTTGGCTCGATTGATCGAGATCTGGGTGATTACAATAGTGTCGGGATCTGTCCCAGCTACAGTGCAACTCTGCACTGTCAGCATATAGTGTGCAATAGCCTGCTATAGGCTGAGTTTTGGGTCACAGGAGGACATTAGTATATGTCCTCCTGTGAGCATAAAGAGAACTATGGCAAAAAAAAGGTTGGGCCATAGTACTCTTTGAATTATATTTACTTGCTAGAACACTGTGTATAAAACATTTGCAATTTTTGGTAATTAAAATACTTATTTTTTCATCTTTGTTTGAATCGCAGTGCTGCTCATTTCCTGCAGCCTCTCTGTACTCAATTCCTATGTATATGTACTCCAGCAATGGTTGCATGGCATTTTTTAGGGTTTGA